AGAGTGAGTGTGTGTGAGTGTGTGTGCGTGCGTGTGTGTGAGAGTGAGTGTGTGTGTGTGTGTATGCGTGCGTGCGAGTGTGCGTGTGTGTGTGTGCGTGCGTGTGAGTGTGTGCGTGCGTGTGAGAGTGAGTGTGTGAGAGTGTGCGTGTGTGTGTGTGCGTGCGTGTGAGTGTGTGTGTGTGTGTGTGTGTGTGAGTGTGTGTGTGTGTGTGTGTGTGTGCCTGCGTGCGTGTGTGCGTGCGTGTGTGCGTGCGTGTGTGCGTGCGTGTGTGCGTGCGTGCGTGCGTGCCTGCGTGCGTGCGTGTGTGTGTGTGCGTGCGTGTGTGTGTGTGTGTGTGTGCCTGCGTGCGTGCGTGCGTGCGTGTGTGTGTGTGCCTGCGTGCGTGCGTGCGTGTGTGCGTGCGTGTGTGTGTGTGTGCGTGTGTGTGTGTTAGGCTGACCAGCTGGAGGCCTGAGGCTGGTTGAAGAACATGTCCACTGGGTCAGCAGCACAGTCTGCCTCCTCGGTGATGAGGGAAAAGTCACTGCTCAGGCTGCTCACACTGCCACGGTCCCTGGACTCTGAAGACAACACAGAAGGTCCTCACGGAGGTTTAGGACTTAAACACCACGTTGATTGTATAGTCATTCAGCTGATGAATGAAAGAAAATAATTTATACTAATATAACATTTCATTTATTAACACCGACCAGAATATTGATACTGAAATAACAGAAATTACTAAGCAACCCTCCATCATTGTAGAAAAACGAGCTTGGTCCATATGCCGGCAGTGAGTCGGGCTCGTTTCCGCTGAGAGTTGGACTCCACCAATGTCATCAGTTCTGTTCATAACCTTCATGGACAGGATTTCTAGGAGAAGTCAAGGTGTTGAGGGGATCTGTTTTGGTGGCCTGAGGATCAGGTCTGCTTTTTGCAGATGATGTGGTCCTGTTGACTTCTTCAGAACGTGATCACCGGCTTTCACTGGAGCGGTTTGCAGCCGAGTGTAAACAGGCTGGGATGAGAATCAGCACCTCTAAATCCAAGACCATGGTCTTGAGTCGGAAAATGGTAGAATGTGTTCTCCAGGACAGGAGCAAGGACCTGCCCCAAGTGGAGGAGTTTAAGTATCTCTGGGTTTTGTTCACCAGTGAGATGGATAGGTGGATTGGTGCTGCTTCTGCAGTGATGCGGGCCTTGTACCGATCTGTCGTGGTGAAGAGAGATTTACCGTGGATCTTCGTTCCTACCCTCACCTATGGTCACGAGCTTTAGGTAGTGACCGAAAGAATATGATCACAGATACAAGCAGCTGAAATGAGTTTTGTTCTTAGGGTGGCTGGGCTCTCCCTTAGACAAAGGATGAGAAGCTCGGCCATCCAGGAGGGGTTCGGAGTAGACCTGCTGCTCCTCCACATCGAGAGGAGCCAGTTGAGGTGGCTCGGGCATCTGGTCAGGATGCCTCCTGGATGCCTCCCTGGTGAGGTTTTCCAGGCACGTCCAACCGGGAGGAGAGCTAAAGGTAGACCCAGGACACGCTGGAGGGACTATGTCTCTCAGCTGGCCTTAGGATTCCTGCGGAGAAGCAGGCCGGGCTGGCATTGGAGAGGGAAGTCTGGGCCTTTCGGCTTAGGCTGCTGCTCCCGCGACCCGACTCCAGGATGATTTGAAGAAAATGGATGGATGGAAATAAACATTTGAAATGCATGAGTCTGTGTGTAATGGATGGATCTAACATACGAGTTTCACTTTTTGAATGGAATTAGTGAAATAAATCAACTCGGTCATGATATTCTAATTTTATGACCAGCACCGGCAATTCTGACGCACAACAAAACTCTCCCACTCGTTACAACATGCATTAACTAAAAAGGACCGTTAGTGTGACGGGTTTAAAAATGTCCACCAGGACCTGTTGTACTGGACCGTGCGTGAGAACACCGCTGTCATTACTGACTCAGCACATTTAACGGCTACAGCTGAAGGACATGATCACCAGTTAACCAGGTAATGCTGTTGTAACCAGTTATGACATGTGCTGGTGGAGGTTCTCAGTCATCCAGGTCATGGTAATCCAAAAGGGTTCCAATCAAGACATTTCACTTGGTCAATTGTCTCTCAAAGCTCCTCGGATGAGGGGCGAAACCCAGGATGTCCAGTTGCCTTCATTTGAACCCTTTTGGATAACAAGTTATGACCCTTCTGTCAGTTAACCGGTTAACCAGCTAACTATGTACAACCCTAAAATACAGTAATAAGAAAAGAAATTGTGCTGATGTTCAGTCAGAAGCATTTGTTTGCAGAATTAGAGCTTTCCTTCACTAACTACAGTGTTTCAGTATTACTGTCCTAATGCCAGAACAGCTTAAAGCAGGACACACCCATGAAATAAGACCCAGGGCTGGGAAGGACTAGGAGAAGCTACTCACGGAGCTGGCACAGATCCTCCACAGTTAAATCACCGTCTCTGAAGTGAGAGTACTTTCTTCTGACAATAAAAAAAGATAATCTGTTTAAAATACAAGAGAGGGAGAAACAAAGACAGAAAGAAGCTATGAGACAACAGACCTCTGCTTCCTAACAACAGAAAACTTCTCTGAGACGATGTGCTTCAAAGAATTGAAGCAGAAGAAAAAGATCTGAAAGAGAGCAACAAGGCTGAATTACAGATGGAAACGTCACAATAAAACTTGAGCTTTGTAGGCCTGCAGCGAAAACGCTGGTTTGAAAACAGAATTACCTCTTCTCCTTTAGAGAGTCGATCAGGCAGCATGTGACTAAAAGGAAACACAATATTTTTAGTATTTTTTCATGTTAGCTGTTCCATTGCAGACGTATTGTGTGAAAATATAGTCATGAAAAAAGCAAAAGGCAGTTTGAAATCAGTTTTTGTTTTCTTTCTCGACACTTCTCTCATGGAGACGGTGCTACTTTAGTGGTTTTAGCTTCTCAAACCTCAAGTGTGTAGAAAATGTCGCCTTTTCCTCTGAACCAACGTGTCGTTCGTGTCTTGGAACTGGCTGTACGTAAACCTAAGGTCACCGAGAGCTGCGTGGTCACACAGCTGGAAGCAGCAAGTAGAATGGAGGTTCAGGGAAGTGAGGCGACTCGGCGAGACGACAACCAACTGGTCCAACAGTTTCCTTCGGACAAACGCGAGAGAACCACTTTATAAATGTTTTTGTTTTTTTATCTCCATAATAATAATAGTTGTACGTAGCGTTGGAAAAGTCATGGAAGTAGGGGCGCCTCCCAAAAATTTGATAGGGGTGGCCAGACGGGGGCAATACATTTTTGGCACACCAAACTGGTCGTTGTGGTAACTCTGGGAGAATTTAGCCTGTTGCGACGTACTGCATTGCTCCTTTATTCGTTTTTATAAGAAAAAAATAAAAATAAGCGTATCCAAAACATTTTACTTAAATTTTACAAATACAAACATTTCAGAAAAATACATTTCCGTTACTTCAAATGTTATTTCTAATTTTATTTTAAAATGTATTTTTTTCACCTGTTGCTGTGCCCACAAGAACTATGGAGATAAAACTTGTTTTAAATGGTGAGCAGCACAAACATATGTATGTTTTCTGATTATTTCTTTACTCATTAATTGTACTATTTTTACATATTTTTTGTTTTACAATTATGTCTTGAATTAATGAGATCAATTTATGGTTTGAGTGAACATTAACGGGATTTATTAACACTGGCTTATACTGGGGGGCCAGCAACTTTCTACCACCCCTTGGGGGCGCCATTGCATGGAAGGCAAAGGTGTCCAAAGCCAGCTTCATCAGTGTGCTAAAGGTTAACGGCCTGGTTTCCAGACCAGAACACATACCGTTTATGACCTCGCCACCAGGAGGAAAGCCATAATAAAGTCCCTTCTCCTGACTTCCTTATCTGCTAGAAGTCACAAGAAGTCTCCTTCAGAGCACGAGACTATTAAACTTTAACACAATTAACATATAATCTTAATCCGGCTCATACAATGACTTCCTCACTTTACAGATTAATTAAAATCATATACTGAATTTTTACAATGAATGTTTCATCTAAAGTGATTTAATGTCTTGATTCCTTGAAAGTACCGTATGTAAATGGCTGTGAACAAGTGGACTGTCAACGTCACTCATGCAATTGCATATAAGTGGGCGTTAACCCGGATGTGGACGTGGCGTTGGCATTCCACCTGGCTTAGCTTGTTGCAGAAGACCAAACTCAGGGGCGTGTCCAGGGAGTGGCCTGGGGTAGCACATGCCACCCTTAGAATCTGATTGGCCACCCCAGGTGCCACCCCACTAAGATCCAGTTTAAATTGACTTTACATTGTCGACAAAAGGCTTGGGTTGTAAACTCCAAAATAGTGTGTGGTTGCATGCACCTTTCACCTAGTTTTCTAGCCCAGGTATGTAGTATTAATATTATTTAATATTTTTTCATATTCACATACATAGTATTTAGAGTCCCACTCAACTCCAGTTGGTGGCAGTAATGCAACAAGAAGTGACTTGCTAACCACCACAAAAGTGCAATGTGAAACTCAAAAATTCACTAGAAAGTAAATAAAAAACGATTTGTGTAAATAAATAAATAAGCGTAACCATTGGTGCCACCCATGAATAAACAAGTGCCCCACATGGGCCACCCCATTTTAAAAGTCCTGGACACGGCTCTGACCACCACACGTAAGTGAGGGTATTCTGACTAAAATTGATTAAATAAGAACGTGTCGCCCTAACAAATGCTTGTACATTTAGTCTATGGTCTTGCCGTGCCAAGCCTCTGCGTGACATTACTTTGATTGCACCCCATGGCAGGAGGAGCAAGGCATTTGTTCTTTGTTTCTGTTTGTCGCTCCTGATGTTTGTCAGCGATTGTCTTTCATTTGTAAATTATGTATTTTCAGTTTTCACGGTGTTTGCAAAGTGATTGGCACCAGGTGCTTGGTGCGATTCTGGGAATGAGATGTGTGCATCTACAGCCTGACGCTAATACAAAGTTGCACCCGTCGAAGCTCTCCTCCTTATTTCTCTTGGATGCCAAGGGGCAGCAACACCGTACTTTACGGAGTATAAGTCGCACCAGTCATAAAATGTATAATGAAGAAGAAGACATATATAAGTCGCACTGGACTATAAGTCGCATTTTGGGGGGAAATTTTATTATTTTTATTACAAAATCTGAGACCGAGCGTTTCACATTGCAAGACAAGTACCGGTAACAATAACAGAATAAACAGTCAGGGCGCAGCACCCCGCCACAGGCTGCAGCAGGTGATGGCGGTGTTTAAAACCCTCCCAGCGGGACAGGGGAACTCATTCCTGGGTCGGAGCCGCCCGGCCCACGGTTTCCAGCAGGTGATAGCAGGGCAGAGGAGCTTATTCCTGGTCCAGAGCCGGTACGCAGCAGTGCGGTATACATAATTTGGTATATAAGTCGCTCCAGAGTATAAGTCGCAGGACCAGCCAGACTATGAAAAAAAGTGCGACTTATAGTACAGAAAATACGGAAATGATGAATCAAAATAACTGTTGAAATGCATTATTTCAGATCTTAAATACACCAAACCAATTTCATTGATTAAAATATCAGTTATGTCACATATTTCAGTATGTTAAAAATTGGCTGTTTCATATTTACTTCACATTTTACGTGAAATATTCGTTTCAAGAGGTTTCTTAAAAAGGATGTGCTGTCTGAGAATTTTGTTAACGCCTCCTACATTTTCTGGCCTCTGGTTTGTCTTCAACAGACCCTTAAAATAGAGGTACCCTTCCTCTTTCCGGCAGTTCCAGCCAAGAAGCTAAAAATTAACAATTCATGGGAGATCAAACCAGGTCCTTTAACAGAATATTGTTAGCGGCATCGAACTACCTTCCTCAGAACCAAAACAACTTTTATTTGTTGTAACCTGCAAAACGGACTGCCAGCTTCCAGCAGTCACCCAGGGGAGTATCTCACTGACCAGCCATGTGGATTCAGAGGAAGCTATGGCCTTTGGATACCTCCAAAGTCCAATCACTCGCCTTGTCGAGACGGCTTTGCTCGCCGGCCAGATCAATGAAATCTAGTAATAAAGTTATACATTGATTTTTAAACTTTATTCTTATGGCTAATGATTATACAGAAGAACTGTAGATAAATGATTATTCAAAGTAAAATCAACTGAGACAATAACCAACTCTGATGAAGCATGACACTGGATGTTATTAAGTGTGATATCCGGGATTATAAAAATAATCTGGCTGAATTTAGTGATGTTTAATAGGTCATCAAATTAATCTTGAAGAACAAATTGCAGGTTAGACTCCCATGAACCAATGTTTAGAATAACAACAGAAACTCGTTTTAACTTTTTTTTTTACACAAAACATACATTATTTAGTCATTTTTGTGAGAATTTTTTTTTTTTGGCCAAACCAAGTGACATCAGCTGAGGGAGTCCTGTTAGCTTAATCCAGAGTCTGTCAGCTGTCTCATACTCATTAATATCCGTTCAGCTAACGTAGTTTAGCTTAGAGACAGGGAGAGAGACGCCTGTCATCCGGTTCTGGAGCTTATGCAGGCTTCTGTGAGCTGGTTCCGACCCAGACACCAGTGAGTCAGTCAAGCTGGGATTTTTAAAAGTCATGAATCCTCTCCTGGTGGTCCAGGCAGTTCTGACCTGGTTCCAACCAAGCCCCCACAATGCAGCTCAAAAATTTAGGCCAACCCGGAAGTACCAAAAATTGCAGTTCCATCCTCATCCACTAGGGGCTGGTGTCAGAAGCGAGCAAATCCCCATTGACTCCCATGTTAAAAATACCAGTTTCACAGCAGAAATAAACATGTTTACAGCCTGGTACCAGAACATGTTTTTTGGTTTAAATGATCTAGTTTACACTCATGACAACTCTGAGGGGGGTGAATGTTTTTCTCACTCTTCTGTTTAAGTGTATTAAAAGCCTAAAATTCTGTATAATTATGAGCATCAGACCCACGTGACCACAGAGCTAGCTCCGGGGAAAGGCCTCAGTAGAGCCTCGGTCTGGCCTGGAAACTGCTCCGGGATTTTGAGTCTCTGTGTATTCTTGTTTGGATATTTTTTGTGCAATTGTTGGACAAAATGACTTGTTGTGGCATTAATTGCACTAATAGAGAGTCCAAGGAGTCTCCACTTCATTTATTTCGGTAAGTAAAATTATATTCATGTATTTTAGGTCACTGCCGAGCTGAGCTTAGATTTTAGCATGTACTGTTTAACCATGAAATTTAAATGTAATAGGGTAAAACCCAGTGCATTTAACATAACGCTGCACTTTAGAAAATGGGTTGAAATATAACATGTTGGTGGAGCTGGGTTCCCACTATCGGCTTGTGGAGCTCTCGGGAGACCCATGTTTTCCACCAGTTTCTCCCCTCCCCGCAGCCCGGCGCATCTGTCTGATCGCGGCTTCTGTCAGATGCGCGGGCTGCCGGCTTGTGGAGCCCTGGGATGGAAACCTTTCCACCCGGTTCTCCCCAGCGGCAGCTCTGTGCATCTCAGATCGCAGCAGCGCTTGTGTGCTGCGCGGCTGCCGGTTTTCAGCAGCTTTCGGGAGACCTCTGTGTTCCACCCGGTTTTACCCAGCGGTCAGCCCGGCGTATCTCTGACTCAGAAGCTCTGGTGTTGTGCACAGTTAACTCCGGTTGTAGCTAGGTTGCTAACTCCGTTAGCTTAGCTCCCACCTCCGCGTTAGCTTTGGGTTAGCTTCAGGTTAGCTTGTAGCTAGTTCGACCGGGTGTCATCAGTCAATCCCAGCCTTACAGCCCCACCCTCAGCTCCACCTCTCTTCCCTTTTGTGGAATTGTCTGGGCTTGACGGAACCTGTGACACGGTCAAAATGGCGGTGGTGGCCACCTCCCATTTTAGCTCAAAAACTTATTATTGGAGCCTATGGAAACCCATTATCCAATATTTATATGTCGTTGGTTCCAACCCAGACACCAGCTTGACTGACCCGCTGAGCCGCCCGTCTCTTCTGGTGGTCAGTTCTGACCTGGTTCAAACGGTGATCTGAGCTCCAGAAATCCACATAACTTTTTTAAACCCCACCATGGGTCTCCAGAGCCCAGCGCGGACCTCCCTGACCCGGTACCGACCCATGTGGGATACAGAAGTCTGTCTTTTCAGCTGCACAAAATGCCCTCAGGCACAGAGATAGAGGCGTTGTTTCTCTGATCTGGAAACCCGTGGACTCAATGTCCAGACAGGCTGGAGTTGGTTAACCTCGATTAACTCACTCTGATTGGTTGTAACTCAGCAGGAAATTACATCAGCAGACATTTTCCAAGACAACCAGCATTAGTAAAATGAGAAGAGTTGCTGGCGAAGCAGAATGGAAGCAAAAGAAAAAGTAATGATCACGCTAAAAATCCAACTCCCGACAGGAGAAAACACGGCAGAATTCCTAAACTACGGTTTCATTAACGGGGCTTTGTTGTCTCAGAGCGCCGTGTAAAACGACACTTCTGGTCAATGAACGCCACATTTTACATCACTCAGTTGCTCTCATCCTCCGAATGGATTAAATTATGATTTACTTTGATAGAGTAAATGCTTTTAAAGTTATTATTGTTACTGTGAGCGCTTTCTGGTGCTGATCAGTGACATCACTCGCTGCCAAAGCAGTCGTGATACGCTGACGTCTGTGTAAAGTTCTGAAAGGGCTGCATTTGAATGGAGACACAACAGCTGAGAGGACTGTGACATTTCCCCGTACCAGGCATTACCCTGGAAGCACAGCTGATTAATGATGAAAGACCTGCATATATATAGTGTATTTTACAGTGAATTGTTCATTCATTCACACACATGTCAATGCTGATGAGCTACATCGTAACCACAGCTGCCATAGGGCTCTCTGATGAGATTTTTATTACCCGAAGAAGAACCAGTCATAGGCGATGGTCAGGTACAGAATCTCAGCAGGCTCCAGGTTGGCATGCACTGCTCCATCCTGTAAAAACACGACAGCTGCAAGACTCATTTCAAACTGGTCTCATGTTGGATTAGATTAGGACACATGTAGAACACTATGGGTGAGATTTGGCCTACATGACACTACCCATACACCAACTTGAACCAGGTGTTCCTGTTTTAAAGGTACACAGAGTAGCTTTGTCATATTTTTAATCCTTTTCTTGAACCAGTAGGGGCTAAAACAACATTTTACAAGGTTAGTCAATCATTTCTCAGCTCCCTCTAGAAACCCACCTTAGTAACGTGAGCCCCTGTGGACGAGTGACCTGAATTCTCAGTCACATATCTCACAAAGAGCAGTTATGCTTTAAGGTAATCCATGTTTACACCTCAAAACCGTGGCGTTCAAGTCTCCCGCTTTAGCCGGGAAACTCCCATATTTTGCTCGTCTTCCCGTGTCAATACCCTACATAACCTTTTTGAAAAAGCTCAATTTTCTAACATGATTTGTGTGGAGCCATCAGAGGAGAAGAGATTAAACATGAGTGCTGAAGGAAGTTTAAAGTACTTACAGCCCAAAGGGACAGCCTGAGGAGCGAGACAAATAGAGGTGTTCTGTCCCACCCTGATATGCAGTGCACTAGGAGGCCACAGTCATCTGAAACACAGACCCACCATGAACAATGTAAACACTTTTAATCATTGCATTTGCAGTGGTCTCTAGTACGAATGAATGCCTTGTAAGCTGTACGAGGGGGCGGGGCTTGTTTCAGGATCTAGAAGTGAGCCACACCAGAGCTGAGCTTCAGACAGCAGGAGTCTGATTTCATGATATTTGGACATCTCTCCTCTGACTGGATATGCGACTCTACCACTGACTCGGTTTTCTCTGCAACGTTGATGTTTTATCACCAATAATAACACATAACCGGAACTGCGCTGCTCTGGGTGGCTGCATGTTGGAGTAGCTCTGTTGACTACATGTAAGTTTTGCCTTTTCTTGGACATTTTTTCTTCTAGTTTCTCAAGAAAAACAGTATTTTTTTTGGACATTTTACTTTTCTTTTTCTGGTGCTGTGACGCTTGGAGGATTTTTACTGCTATTTTTTCACTTTTTGAGCATTTGTTATGATGTGTAACCATGGCAACAAGCTGGTTTACAATCGGGAGCAGCTGATTAACATTGGAAAGGCTGAAATAATACCTCAACTGAAGCCACAAATCCCAAATGAGCTAAAACGCAAGAAGCGTGGATGCAGAGCGGGAGCAAAATGGAGACAGAGAAAGAGGAAATTCAAACCATCTCTTCCATCGATCATAATGGGCGATGGGAGATCACTGGCCAACCAGATGGATGAACTCCAAGCCCTTTCAAGGACTCAGCTAGAGTATCGGCAGTGTAGTGTTATGTGTTTCAGTGAGACGTGGCTGCAGGACCATATCCCCGATTCCAGCATCTCTCTGCCAGGATTCCTGACTGTACGAGCAGACAGAGATCTGAAGAGGAGCGGGAAAAGAAAAGGAGGTGGCGTGGCAGTGCTTGTCAACAACAAATGGTGCCGTCCAGGTCATGTTTCAGTGAAATGTCGTCTCAACAGCCCAGATGTTGAACTCTTGGTAGAAACCCCCAAATTCCACTACCTCCGCTCCGCTCCGCCCCCGCCTTCCGCAGCCGCTCGCTTCCGAACTCAATTTTTACTGGTACCCGCTCAACAACGGCTCCGCTCCGGAGACCTGAGGTGGGCAAACAAGCATGCGCGGGATTTTCGAGATCTTGCGATACAGTCCGAGCAATAAACGCGGAAGTTAGATCCAAACACCCGTTGTGTGAGAGAAGCATCGGCATGAACTGTTTAATCTGCCCATCATTTGTGTTGAGAGATCAGCAGTGTTTGGATCAACAAAGTGTGACTACTTTGAAAGTGGAAACTGTATTTATGGCTTACTTTTGTGCGTTTAAACTTCGGCCGCCATTGATAGTTGTTAAAAGTTGTTAAATCTGTGCATATGAAACAAAAAACGCCTTTTGTTTATCGATTTATTGTGAAAAACGGAAGTTGTGCTTGCTCCTTTTCCTGTTGGGCGGTTGTGATTCCTGTCCATTTACTGCGGAGGTGCTCCGGCGTCCGGCAAAAATAGGATCGATTCTATTTTTGCCGGACGCCGGAAAAGAGGGCGGCGCACTGCGCCGCATTGCCGGAGCACGGCCGCAGTAGTGGAATTGCTCTGATTGACTACAACGGGACTGATTTTGCTCCGGCGTTCGTGTCGGAGCAGAGCGGAGGTAGTGGAATTTGGGGGTCAGTTGTCGCCCATATTTTTTGCCAAGAGAGTTCACCAGTATTGTCTTGGCAACCGTTTCTATTCCACCTTCAGCCATTGCTGAAAATGCATGTGATGCCATCGGTTCCGTTGTCGCTAAGCTAGAAACCCAGCACCCCAATGCATTTGTGGTCGAATCTGGTGATTTTAATCATGCCTCGCTCTCTGCTACACTTCCAACATTTCAACAGTTTGTCAGCTGCTCCACCAGAGAAAACAAGACATTGGATTTATGTTATGCAAACGTAAAGATCAGATCACAATCTTGATTGTCTCTGCTCAGAATACAAACCACTTGTTCACAGGCAACCTGTGACAAGAAGAACTGTGAGAAAATGGTCACAGGACGCTGAAGAAGCCCTGCAGGGTTGTTTTGAGACCACAGATTGGACGACTCTCTGCCAAGGATATGAAGAGGACATCAATGCGATGACTGGATGTGTCACTGACTACATAAACTTCTATGTGGACAACATCATACCCACCAGAACAGTGGGATGCTTCGCTAATAACTAACCCTGGATCACCAGTGAACTGAAGAATCTGCCAAATGAGAAAAAAAGAGCCTTCAAGGAGGAAGACAGGGAATTATTGAGGAGTATACATAAGCAACTGAAGATCAAGATCAGAGACAGCAAGGAGGCATACAGGAAGAAGCTGGAGAACAAACTACAGAGGAACAATGTCAGAGATGTCTGGTCAGGGATGAAGAAGATCACAGGCTTCAAGCACAGGAAGGATAGCACAGATGGCAACCTGGACACAGCCAATGAACTGAACAAGTTCTTCAATAGGTTCAGTTCAGGAACAAACCCAGCATCCTCCTCGCATGTCCCCAGCCAATCAGATATCCCATCCTCCTCTGATCCAACATTTTCCTGTCACACGCCAGCTCATTTGTCCTCTAACGCAGTCATGGACTCTTCTGGTTGTATAAATCTGTCTTCAACCAAGTCAGGAGATGCTGCTGCCCCAGTTACCTCCCCCTCCCACCTATCTGTCTCTTGAAGTCAGGTGAAGAGGAAGCTGGAGAGACTGAACAGGAACAAGGCTGCAGGTCCAGATGGTGTCAGCCCCAGAGTACTGAAGGCCTGTGCAGAGCAGCTCTGTGGGATTCTGCAGCACCTCTTCAACCTCAGCTTGGCCTAGGAGAAGGTTCCAGTCCTGTGGAAGACATCCTGCCTTGTTCAAAACTTGCCCATCAGTCAATGACGACTACAGGCCGGTTGCCCTGACATCCCCCATCATGAAGGTCCTGGAGAGACTCCTGTTGGTCCACCTGAATAAGCAAACTAGGACATATCAGGACCTGCTGCAGTTTGCTCATCGCCATGGAGATGAAGATGCCATCATTCAGCTGCTTCAACCAACCATCTGTCATCTGGACAAAGCAGGCAGCACTGTGAGGGTCATGTTCTTTGATTTCTTCAGTGCATTTAACACAATCCAGCCTGATGTACTTTGCCAGAAACTCCAGAAGACACAGGTGGGGGCCTCAACTATCGCCTGGATTAAAGACTACCTGACAAACAGACCACAGTTTGTGAGGCTGAAGAACTGCACATCAAACCAGGCGATCAGTAACACTGGAGCACCACAGGGGACTGTACTCTCACCATTCCTTTTCACCCTGTACACCTCAGACTTCCAGTACAAATCAGAGACCTGTCATCTACAGAAATACTCAGATGACTCTGTAGTTGCCGGGTGTATCAGAGATGGACAGGAAGCTGAGTACAGAGAGCTGGTGGAGCGCTTTGTGGCATGGTGTGGAAACAATCATCTGACCTTGAACGTGAACAAAACAAAGGAGATGATTTTAGACTTCAGAAGAAACAGGGTGGAGTCAAACACTGTTTCCATCATGGGAGAAGAAGTGGAGGCGGTTGAGGAATACAAACACCTTGGAGTTCACCTGGACAACAGACTGGACTGGAGAAAGAACAGCGAAGCCGTTTACAAGAAGGGACACAGCAGACTGCACTTCTTGAGAACGCTTAGGTCCTTCAATGTCTGTAGCAAGATGCTGCAGGTCTTCTACAAGTCTGTTGTTGAGAGTGTCATCTCTTCAGCCATCGTCTGTTGGGGTAGCAGCATCAGAAGCAGGGACCTGAAAAAGCTCAACAGCCTAATAAAAAAGGCTGGTTCTGTTCTGGGGACGACTGTGGAACCACTGGAGGAGATGATGCAAAGAAGGATTCTCCAGAGAATCAAGAAAATGATGGACAACCCTGAGCATTCTCTTCACAAGACTGTCCGACAACTGAAGAGTGTCTTCAGTCAGAGGCTTCTTCAGTTTGGCTGCAACACTGACCGCTACTGGAGATCCTTCCTGCCAACAGCCGTTGTAATATACAACAACTCTTTGATGACTTGATTATTATTATTATTCTGAGCTACTACAGCAATCAATTTCCCTCTGGGATTAATAAAGTACTTTTGAATTGAATAACACAAGCCTGGAGGAGTTCTGCTGTGTGGTTGAGTTTGTAATGCTAACAGTTAGCTTCTGCTAGCAAAGACGTTCTCTGCTGTTTCCAGGACGCTAAACCAACAACAGCCTTCCCCGTCGTGAGTCCAGACGGGTGAGTCCATGAATGTTAGTGTCAGTGTGACGTAGATCTGTCAGGATTTTCTAATCCTAGTTTCACCGTCTGATTTCCATCAGAAGCTGATGCAGGAGGTAGGTGTAGGAGACTATTTTATGTTCAGCCTGCATGAAACTCTCAGAGTGACCCGTTAGGATCAGATAACATTGAAAAGGTTTTTCAGTATCACATTGACAGTTACTAGTGGCAGGATGCTTTGAGGAAGTTGCACAAGTTCTTGAAGATTATAAGTTATTCAGAAATCATTCCTCATGTGTAAGAACAACCTGACCCAAACAAACCATTTCAGCTTCCACACCAGTAGGTCACCCACTCCATCCTTTTTTCACTAAAATACTAAACTCCCCTACCTCTGCTAAGACATCTCCCCCAAACCCATCCTTTAGTTGAAAACAACGAGCTGAGATTTGGAGCTGCTGACCCCATCCCAGCTGCATTACACTCAGCTGAGACCCTCTCCAGAAAGGTCACAAGGTCACAGTTCAAAAGATAATCACATCCTCTGCAGAAAGCAGAGATGGGATCCATAAAACCCGTGAACAGAACTGGTGATAAAAATGGGTGTGGACCATCAAGAAAGCATATCCTGGGTCTCTTCTTCAGATGTGAAGCAATTCCAGCAAGAATAGGCCAACCCCCCTCAAAGACCAAAGTACAGGCCAGGTTAGGGAACCTCCATGTGCTACACTGCTGCTATATAAAAATCCTTTCTTCATCTCCCCCTGAGCGAGGGAATCTCTCTTTTATTTAAAGCTGTTTTAACTCATCTGCAGAACAAACGAACACCGTCACTCACCCCTCCGCTCCAGTACCATCCCTGGGTTACTGTACCACACCTCTATTTCTACAGCACATGTAAAAATGTGCTACTCTTCAGAAAATCAAAAGGCCATACAATCTGAAGATGTTTTGTATTTCTGCTCCACGTGCTCAACAGGAAAGAAAGCTCTGAGATGGAGGGGTCTGGTCTGGGCTTCCTGCTAGGGCTACAGCTCCCCTGGCCCAAAAAAATGAGACTATTCTATATTTGACTTTATTTCTGTTTTACTCACACCCTATAGTTCATTCTGTACAATATTGTGATGTTGGCACGCACATTTAAGCTAGCTAGCGCATTGAGACACCTGCTCGCTCCACAGAATCTCCTGAAAGCACAGGTCCATGTCTCTCCTTTAGCCAACGTCTCTCCTGGCTTGTCTCCGCTCAGCAGGCTCATACCTGTATGGTTGTGATCCACCATAAGGATAATAATTAAACATTTAAAGTGACAGTGTGTATTTTTCCTCCCAATAGGGGGCAGTAGATATCTAAATCATTGCAAGCAAGCAGTATTTTTGTGTTGCAGTAAAACCTCACCACCATTAAGCCTGATCCATGCTTCTGCGTCAGCTCCGCAGGAGACAGACACGCACGGACTGACGGAAGCGTTTTGCTCTCAGACGTCTCCGTCTCCTGGGGAGCGTTGCAAAGCAATTCCCCGGCAGGACACCAGAGGGCGTAGTGCTGTTCTGTGGTATCCTGTCATGTATCGGTCCAAGATAGTGTGTTTATATTGTGTTTTTTGTATATAAGAGACTTTTTAACATACAAATTTGTCTCTCATCCTCCTCCACCTCTTCATGCGCTCCCCACCTCTAAACCCACGTTTTCTGTCATTTCCGTCCACAAATAAAACGCTTGCTGCGCATCTTTTCACTCCTCCAGTCACGGGGGAATTAAACGTTCATGTTTTAGAGTTTTTTCATGAGGTGTTCTTCAAGCTTCTCCGTGTCTGCCCCTAGTTATCCTCGGCTCTCTTTATGTTTTTGAGAGCGCAATGGCGGCGGTGTAGACGACAGCGGCGTCCTGACCAATCACAAGCTTGCATTGTCCGTCTCGACTGACGGATGTTTAGAAAAGAGAGCTAGACTCCGTCTGTCCTTGCGGGGCTGTCCGGCAGGCCCGCAAGGACGTTGCGTGTCTCCGCGCTGACGCAGACGGAGAAGCATGAATCAGGCTTCAGGGTCAAAAAGCCCCAAGGAGTGTGAACTTCAGCTACATAACAAGCACATCAGACTCCCAAACATCACGGGCAACGAGTGAAGAGGTAAAGTGTGAAACATTTATGAATGGTGAAAGTTTTGTAACCGTTTGCTACAAATCAATAAATGTGTTTTGTCCTCATGGGCTCCTGTAGGAAGCATGGCGTCTCCCAGAGATTTAGACCCGCTCACGTACTTTAGACCTGATTTTTATGGTTAGATGTTACAAAGCCGCCGATATTTTTCAACAACTGGGCGTCATTTCATTCATTTCCAACAACATTTTGCTGGAAATTTGCAGAGATTAATGGTAAGAACTACACATCGTCTTTTTAAAGGAAGTCAGAACCGGCATGAGAATCCATACTTTGCTCCGGCTCAAGCTAATAGCTCTCACTTCTGGTTTGGCAGATAAAATGTTTTTCTCACAAAAATGACTCCCAAAGCCTAAATAATTTGTGGAAATTGTCATTTAGAACGAGCTCCTGTTATATTTCTGTAAACATTTGTACAAAGGAGGTTTTACTTGCATGTGCTCTTTTCGTGCCCAGAACCCAAAAATGGAGTTTTGTCTGCAGAGGAAGAGGACCTCTGTCCAGTCTAACCAGCAGAAATGGTTCAGGAGCCCTCGACCCTAACCAAGCCGAAGTGTGACCGTGACTTCGGACTGCTTGTTAAACCACCGCCAACACCAGGGAGGGTTTTCAGACCGATGACTTATTTAAACCGGCGCCATTTCAACCCTAAAAGCACCTGACAGGCCAGAGCGGTGGGTTCAACCAAACTGCTAACCGCTAGCCGAATGGTTTGGGGTCGACAGTTAGCAATAGACTGGGAATACAATTCATCCCAGTCGCCTGTTCTTTGTCCAGGTGGTGTGCGTGCATGTGTGTGTTAACAGCTCCTTAACCGCTTCTCTGGTGGCGAATGGGGGGCGGAGGTTAAACTCGGCGTAATTTGTTTCTTCGCCATGCTCCGCGATGCTTTGCAGGGACGGGTGGTGTTCACTTGAGTCAAGTCTTATTTCCAGGTTGGTAAAATGTCTGAGCTTACATTTCAGAAACTAGTGCTAAAGATAATATTTTATCATGTCACCGTAACTCTGGAGAGGTGAAAATGGCATGACACCGTCCCGTTAAGAACAAATATACACGTTCATAAACGTACTGGTGTAACCAGCAGACGACTCTCCAGGTATCGGTGAGGTCATGAGGAGTAAGGCTCCTCTCAACACATTCATGTGAAAACATAAAACACTCAGAGACACATCAGTGCCACCTACCATCATTATTGATGATGTGGAGGAGCAGCTTCAGGTAGTTCTGGGTCTGCTCTACAAGGTCCCATGACTGAGTTAGAAACACAAACATCTTAAGACGGAAAAGACAAATTTACAGGAGACATCTATTATCTCATGCAGTCATCTCATGGTCCAGCTGTAAAAGCTCCCTCAGCTGTTAGAGGAACAAACACAACATAAGAACAAAGTTTTATCTTTCTGTGACTGCATAGCCGATCAGCACAGGCTGGGCCACTGCTCAGCTGGCTTCAGAACGGGGAGCAGAGAGGAAAACAGCAGCAGCACAGACAAATGTCTCTGAAACCCAGAAGAGGAGGAGAAAACAAAGACTTCACCTGGTACTGAGTCCAGTCAATGTTCAGCTTCTGGGTGAAACTGGCTGGGATTGTCAAAGGGGCATCCACATAATCCTGTTGAGACCAGAACCATCAGACTGGGTTAACAGACTAAGAACCATCAGAACTCCTGCATCAGACTGGGTTAACAAAACCTGTACCTGATTCCAGTTGAACACCAGACCTTCAGCCGTGTAGTTACGGTCTTTGTATTCCTTAAAAAACTCACACCCTGAAAAGAACAGAACAAGAAAACTTTTTCACACAGCACAAGTTATCTCCACTCTTCCATTTAAAACTCCTGGTTCTCTGCTCTGGTCAGACCAGACCAAAGTAGAACTTTTGGGCCTAAATGCAAAGTGCTACATGCGACGGAGAAGACCCTGCTGATCACACCTCCCCCACTATGAAACATGGCGGTGGCAGCAACAACCTGTGGGGATGCTCTCCCCAGCAGGAACAGGGAAGCTGGTCAGAGTTGATGGGAAGATGGGTGGGGCTAAATACAGGAAAATCCTGGAGGAGGTCAACATGTCTGAAGGTGCAAAGGACTTGAGACTAAAAATGAGATTCACCTTCCAGCAAAACAATGACTGCTGTAATCCACCCGCTTCTTAAAAAACCGAGTCTGGACCCCTCTCTCCATAGCAGCTTCAGACCCATCTCTAAACTTCCGTTCATCTCCAAGATCTTGGAAAAGGTTGTGGCTAAACAACTCACAGCTGCTCTTGATGAACATAACATCTATGATAGCTTCCAGTCAGGTCTTCGTAGAGCTCATTCTACTGAAACAGCTCTTCTTACCCCTACTTCACACAGGAAGCATCAGCGGCACGGAACGGCCAGGACTAGACAGGAAACCACATACAGTCTCAGTGTAAAACACGCAGTCATTTTCTAAATACATGACTTGTGCAGCAATGCGATTTCATATCTGTGTAGATTACGTCAAAACATGTGACTCAACAGCTTATTTACTCCCAACCTCTTTCCAGAAGTGCAGCGGTGCGTTTTTCATGGCTTCACATGACATCAAACAGCGATAACGTGATTTCCTCTTCTGTTTCATGGAGGATGGCATAAACTCCAGGGGTTTTGTGATCTCGCGAGTCCAGCAAGGAGCATGGCAGAAAAGCCGCTCCACGGCTGAAATCTTCCTGGCGTGTACTGGCATGCAGCGTAAATTGCAAAAAAAAAAATAAATACCGTTCTGCAAATTATCCCTCCAGTGTCAAGTCGGGGTTAGGGTCTCTAATGACCTTCTGACCCACAGTGATGCAGGGGACTGTTCTGTTCTGGTCCTGCTGGACCTGACTGCAGCCTTTGACACTGTTGACCATCACCTTCTGACCAAGTCCTCCAAACACACCCACATCATCCCGCTTCTCCTCCAGCTTCACTGGCTGCCAGTCAACTTCAGGGTTCATTTCAACATCCTGGTTCTGGTCTATAGGGCCTTACATGGACAAGCACCATCTTACATTGCTGATCTTCTTAGTCCCTACACCCCCAGCAGGTCCCTGAGGTCCAGTGATCAAAGCCTACTGGTTGTGCAGCACCAGGCTAAAGGTCAAAGGTGACAGATCATCTGCTGCTGTGGCCCCCAGACTCTGGACCTCTCTCCCCCTGAGCCTGAGATCAGTGGACTCAGTGGTCTCCTTTAAACTCACCTGTTCAGGCTTTGGCGGGACCCTCGGTTGAATCTTAATCACTATAGTTTTGTTTTTTCAACACATCTGCATCGGTGGTCTCTGGTATAAATTAATGCCTTGCGAGTCGATCTCTGAGGTAACAAAGCTCTGGTGCTCCGGTTTCATACGACAGGATTTAAAGTCTAATGTTCTGAGGACAGCAATAGCTCAGGAGGTAGAGCGGGTGGCCAGATACAGGAGGGTTGTAGACAGAGATTACTGCTGTTGTTTCCCTGGGCGAGGAACTTTACGCTCCCTTCTGCTGGCGGCGGTCAGAGGGGCCGGTGGCGTCTGTGCTCGGCAGCCTCGCCCCTGTCAGTGCCCCCCAGGGCAGCTGCAGCTACCATGTAGATTATCATCCTCAGTGTGTGAACGTGGGTGTGAATGAATGAACGTGGGTGTGAATGAATGAATGATACAATGTTGTGTAAAGTGCTTTGGAGTCCTCTGATACTGAAAGGCGCTTTACAAGTCCGGGTCATTCACATTCCATTTCTGGTTCTTTTTAAAACACAGGAAAGGTTTCTCTTTACCTTGCTGACAGTTTTGTTTGCGACTGCGAACTTCCTCAGAGCTGACGCTGATGGTGGCGTCACTTCCTACTCTGTTTATCCGCGGGTAGCAGAGGACGTTGTTGCCCTCTGCTGCCCGCTCTCCCCTCAACGATGATGCGGTCCCATGTGCGATCCAATGAGTAACCTCCAGAGTAGGAAGTGACGCCACCTTCAACATCCGCTCTGAGGATGTTTGCAGTCGCAAACAAAACTTCAGCAAGGTAAAGAAAAACCTTATCTGTGTTTAAAAAAGAACCAAAATGGAATTTGAAGACAAGCACAGCAAGAACGGGTCATTCACATTCATCATGTTCAACATCTCGCCTCTGATTGGCTAGCTGCCACTCAGCGACTCCACCACTGACTCCAGTGTGCACTGCAATGGCTCAGACCAGCTGATCTGAGCTCCGCTCAACCAAAGGGAAGAAAAATAATAAACCTGCAACCGTATTTTTATATCATCGATGCAACAACCTGCAGTCATTCTCTACAGCACTCAACATGAAAATGCCATGATTCCCTGTCTTTCACCCTCCTCTGCCTCTGCTGCCATGACCTGTTTCCACAGCAACCTCAGCCTGCACCTCATCAACTTCATTCATCTCACCTGTTCCTGTCATCAGCTCATCCCACACACCTGCTCCCCCTGCTATATGTTCACCAGCCAGCCACCCGTCCCCTGCCAGATTATTGAACGCTCGTTGCCAGTAAATATTCCAGCCTTTCACCTTGCCTGATCTCAGCCTCCGGACCTCATTTTCACGTCTGACCCCTGCCTTAAACTCTGCCTGCCACTACGACCCTCCCCTGTCTTCTACCACATCTCCAGCCTGTTCCCTGTACCTGCTCGTCCCGATCTGGTTTTGACCCACACCTCCTCTCCGACTGTCTCCTGCCTTGCCCTCCTCGGTAAATGTCACATCTAATAAAGACATTTTATTGAACTTTTTACTGTGTTTGGTGTCATCACGGGTCTTCCAAGTTCTGGTTGTGACAGAATAATCTGGCCACAACATAGACCCGACTCTGACACAGTACTTGCTTAGGAGTTCAGCTAACATTCATTCTGACCTGTCAAGGAGTATCTCACGCTCCTTGATTTTATGGAGCTAGAAAAGGAACAGGAGTCACCGTTCTGGGAAACACGTCTGGCAATCAGGCCACAGCCGCGCAGAGGTTCCACCCCTCCGTCCAGGCCTGCTGCGACCGTCATGCGCAGTGGGTCCCTGACAACGCGACGGTGGCAGCCCCGGAAACCCTCTGTGAATTCACTGCCTTCCCAGATCCAAGGTTTAGCAGCTACGCCGCTCCAGCCTCGGGCCCCTCCTGTCGTCACGCTGCTCCAGCCTCAAGCGCCTCCTGTCGTCACGCCGCTCCAGCCTCAAGCGCCTCCTGTCGTCACGCCGCTCCAGCCTCAAGCGCCTCCTGTCAGGTCACATCGGCGGCGGTCCTGGAGGTCTTCTGGAGCTGGTTGATCCTTCTCCCGTGCTGGTGTCGGCGGGTTCCCCAGATGACATCTCATGTTTTGCTTCTAGGCCGGCCCCAACTGAGGAGGCTGTTCAGATGATGAGACAGATGGTCGAGGACACTATATGGAAAATCTTTGCCATACCATCCTGCCCCCACTTACGACTGTGGACGGCTGAAAAGTTAAATACCCTCTTTTCCACCCATCCGGAATTGGCAACAATTCCAGCCCTTAGTAATTATTACCTTTATCTGACCTGCTGTGAGGGATGGACACCTTCCCCAGAACCCTCCAGCACTCCGCATCCAGTTCCGGTGGTGGTCCCAGAGGACGCTCCACGTCCAGTACCGGTGGTGGTCTCGGAAGACGCTCCGCATCCCTTTCCGGTGGTGATCCCAGAGGACGCTCCGCATCCCGTTCTGGTGGTGGTCCCAGAAGACGCTTCGCATCCAGTTCCTGCGGTGGTCCCAGAGGACGCTCCGCATCCCGTTCAGGTGGTGATCCCAGAGGACACTCCGCATCCCGTTCTGGTGGTGATCCCAGAGGACGCCCCGCATCCAGTTCCCGCGGTGGACCCAGAGGAAGCTCCGCATCCCATTCCGGTGGTGGTCCGAGTGGACGCTCCTCATACCGTTCTGGCGGTGGTTCCAGAGGACTCCCAGCATCCCGTTCCCATGGTGGTCCCAGAGGACTCCCAGCATCCAGTTCCCGTGGTGGTCTCAGACGACGCCCCGCATCCCGTTCCAGCGGTGGTTCCAGAGGACGCTCCGCATCCCGTTCCGGCGGTGGTCCCAGAGGACGCTCGGCATCCAGTTCCAGCGGTGGTTCCAGAAGACTCTCCGCATCCAGTTCCGGTGGTGGTCCCAGAGGTCGCACCGCACCCTGTTCCAGTGGTGGTCCCGGAGGTAGCACCGCATCCGGTCCAGCCTGTCCAAGAGGCTCCCCCTGCAGCGGCTCCGCCCACAGTCGAGTCAGCCCCACCTGTCCAAGAGGCTTCGTCTCGTCAGCCTGCAGTCCACGTCTTCGTCCCCTCGTCAGCCTGCAGAGTCCACGTCGTCGTCCCCTCGTCAGCCTGCAGAGTCCAGGTCATCGTCCCCTCGTCAGCCTGCAGAGTCCACGTCTTTGTCCCCTCGTCAGCCTGCAGAGTCCACGTCTTTGTCCCCTCGTCAGCCTGCAGAGTCCACGTCTTTGTCCCCTCGTCAGCCTGGAGAGTCCACATCGTCGTCCCCTCGTCAGCCTGCAGAGTCCACATCGTCGTCCCCTTGTCAGCCTGCAGAGTTCAGGTCATCGTCTCCTCGTCAGCCTCTAGAGTCTACGTCCCCGCCCGTGTCTCCATCCCCTCTGATTCCAGGTCGGTCATCGGCAGCCATCATCGCCAGTCCGGTTCTCGCCCATCGCCGCCGGCCCCCCAGACTCCCGCTGTCCTGGTTCCCCGTCGTCGGCCCCCCAGACTCCCGCGGTCCGGGCTCCTGGTTCCCCGTCGCCGGCCCCCTTGACTGCTCTGGCCCTCCTTCCTGGTCTCCCTCCTCCCGCCCTGCTCTGGTTTCCTGTGGGCGTCTGGAATACACCCTTGAGGGGGAGGGTTCCGTCATGATTCCCTGTCTTTCACCCTCCTCTGCCTCTGCTGCCATGACCGGTTTCCACAGCAACCTCAGCCTGCACCCCATCAACTTCATTCATCTCACCTGTTCCTGTCATCAGCTCATCTCACACACCTGCTCCCTCTGCTATTTAACTCCCAGCCCACCCAGTGCCAGAGCCTCCGGTCCTCGTTTTCACTCCTGACCCCTGCCTTGAACTCTGCCTGCCACCACGACCCTCGTCTGTCTGCTACCTTATCTCCAGCCTGCTACCTGTACCTGCTCGTCCAGATCTGGTTTTGACCCACGCCTCCTCTCCGACTCTGTCTCCTGCCTCGCCCTCTTCGGTAACGTCACATCTAATAAAGACTTTTTATCTAACTATTTACAGTGTTTGGTGTCATCACGGGTCTTCCAAGTTCTGAACGTAACAGAAAATGGAATAAATGAAACAGCAAAGCAGGAAGAAATGTTATTTCTGGTTTTCACATTTTTCACTTCACTTCAAACAATTTAGAATAGTGTTTTCACCTAATTTTACTTGTATTTTATTTAAATTTCTTCATCTTCATCAGTATTTTGTGCTGCATTGTAAGGAGAAAGAATCCTTTGAGATGTTTTGTATTTTCTGAACATTAAATTAAATTGTATATAACAGCTTATGTTTTAGGAGGATAAAAACATGTGAGATGGGACATGTCGTTGTCGAGCGGGTAGAGGATAAGGTGGAGTCAACAGGTAACACTTCTGAAAGGACACAGAACAAATGACATACACTGTTATAAATGCTGTATTATATGTTATATCAGAATAATGTCAAATTGGAAGCAGAAGCTGAGTTACAATGTGTTTCTAAACTTGAATGGTAAATGGCCTGTATTTGTATAGCGCCTACCTACACCCCCCACCCCCCCCCCCCCAAGGCACTTTGCAACACAATCAAACATCCACCCATTCACACACACACATTCACACGCTGGCGGGGATGAGCTACGATGTAGCTACAGCTGCCCTGCGGCGCACTGCCGTACACAGAAACCACAGATTCCCCTCACAACCACCAGGAGGAAACACAGGTGAAGTGCCTTGCCCAAGAACACAACTGACACAGACAGAGCCTGGCTTTGAACCAGCAACCCAGAGGGAAAGTTCCTAAACCCTGAGCCACTGTCACCCCCCATGTTGCCAAGGCTGGTCCTCAAGTGCCACCATCCATCCTAATTTTGCTGTTTTCTGCTCCAGCAAACCTGACTCAATGATTTAATCACCTGTTCATCTGCAGAAGCCTGTTAACCACCTACTGATCAAAATCAGGCATGCTGGAACAGAGAAACAACTAAAACATGCTGGGGTTGCCTACCGTGACCTATAACCTTGAGATACCTGAGGAACTCTGGTCTTTTGGAAGCGGCCCATGCAGTTCTGGTGTGAAACCACGCTCCATATCAGTCATAAATATGGTGATCCCCAACAAACCTATTATCTACCGATATACTTCTGACTGGTGATGTTTAGTGGAAGTGATGTCATTCACCTGGGTAAGGCACAGAGAGCAAGGCGAAGTCTGCATAACGCTGGGCCTTGTCCACCTTCTCAGACGATGTCACACTGCAGAAAAAGACAGAGAGCTAGGTGAGATGCACAAGGGTGGCAGCAGACTTCAGACAGGACTGCTCTCCTGGTGGTTTCAGGTCTGATAATATCTGTAGTTGTTGGGAATTATTAGGACGTACAGGGTTGTTAGGCACCACCTGATTCCTGACCCATAATGAAGCAGAACATGCTGATCCATCGCTAACACTTACAGAAACAGGTGTTTATAAAGCATTAATAACACTTAGTAAATAAGCTAATAATTCACAAGCGCTTGTAAAGGTTTAGTAAATGTTAGCGATACAACTTTTTCACTTCCGATACGATACCGATATTGCAGCCTTCAGTATTGACCGGTACCAATATCAATCTGATATCAGCAAAAATCATACAGACCATTACCTATTTTGTACTGTGGAAGTATGAAAGGCTTAATCAAGTGCTATTACTTAGTCGGAGAACAAGAGCCAATAACAGTAAGTATGAAAAAATTGTCAATTTTTTTAACCATTGGTTGCAAAAATGTGCACCTTATTAGACCGCTTGCATCGGAGAATTTTGATACAGTCCGATATAATCTGATAGTGTTTTTGGGCCGATATCCATGTCGGAACGGGACATCCCTGGTAAATGTTTCCTTACATAATGAACAAATAGGTTGTTCAACGTTAGTAAATGATAAAATAATGATTAAATAGTAATTTAACAAACAATTAAATCTGTATGCAGAAATGTGTTCACTTCAGATTATGGGATGCAAAGTGGTTTGTAAAAAATGTTGTATGTATTGACAAATGATTTATAACAGATATGTTACACATATGGAAGTAACGGCTAAAACTGAGAACGTTTCCACTTCATTCAGATTTAAATGTTTGTTTCATTACATTTTTATTAAGTAATGTTGAAAACATTTGTGTTTATTAAAGCATCTACTAAACATTTACAGACGTTTGTAAATGATTATGTACCAAGTGTTTATAAGCACCTGTTACTGATTCGTCCAATCAGTCTCAAACAGAAATAAAGCTTTAAAAGTCAGGTCTGACACCGGATCAGAGTCTGTAAACACTACTGATGATAACATCTGAAAAATACTCATATCAAAGCCATAATGAACATCTCAGTCAGATCAAGTGCAGGCCACACAGCAATGAGCAGAATACGAATACATTATTTTTAGAAGCATCATACTTTAGACCAAACTTGACCTTCTTGTTCTCCATCATTAGGTCACAGATGTAGCGAACTGAGAGGTACTGTAGCAGCTTAATGTCATGACCTCGCACCTTGTCGAAGAGCTGGGTGTCCCTGTTCCTGACAAGAAGCATAAAAGGAAGGGAGGAAATTAGGATAAGGCTTCATCAAGAGATCAAATGCGTGCTAATGCCTTGGCCCCTGAAGCAACAACCTCCAGAATTCCAGAGCTGAACTTTCAACTTTAACTGCAAATTTTATACAGTATGGTCATTTTATAACCTGATGGCGCTGTCATCATCGGGAACCTCCTCAGAGTCTGTCCAGTTGTCATCACTGCCCCCTGAAGACAGAGAAATGCACACGAAGAGCCAATGTAACCGAGGTGTTCCACACTGATGAATTTCACCAACATGTCTGCTCTGTGAGGCTCAAGCAGTGAACGCCTTGCAAAGGCCTCCTGTACTTATATTTATCCATATTTCTGTCGGAGGTGGGAACTGAAACTTCTTCTGAAAGGATGTTCCCAGCAGACCCTCACAATACGCTTGGGACTGCCAGGTCTGACCGGCATCTTCGTCTTCCATCGGAGCCAACTCACCACCAGGTCAGTTGACAGCTCCGCCCCTCTCTTCACCAGAGTGTCCAAGACATGCAGCCGCAGATCAGAAGAGATGACAACAAAGTCGATCATCGAGTTGCAGCCTAAGGTGTCCTGGTGTCAATTAAGCAATATCTCACGAGAGGGAGTGCGTTGTTGCTGAATATCAGCACTGGTGTGATTCGGTCGTAGATAATCACACCAGTGCTGATATTCAGCAACAACGCACGACCTCGAGTGTGATATTGCTTTTATACAACAGTTCTACCTGCTCATTTTATTTTGAGAACACCAATAAGCAACAACAGATTATGATTTGTTCATTTATTTAATCATTTATCAGGCTCCGCCAACACAAATTGTCCCAACACGAAACGGAGACTCAGACAAGGCCGTTGCTAGGCAACACAAACATTTTCTACAAAGCACTAACTTTACTTTGCATCATTTACGATTATCTGAATATTTCCGTTTATTGTACATTCACTGAAATACGAGTCTGCTGACCGATGCTTTGGTGGCATGGGTGTTTCTGATGAGTTCATTCGATCAGACAGCACATTGCTCCCTTGTTTCCAGCTCGCCATAGATGTCTCCAGTAACTTTTTAGCGAGCTTTCCCTCCTGCAGAACAAGTTTTTGTTTAGATATGTATATTTTTTGTTCTGCCACACATTATAGATGAATCAAATTGATGTAGCCTAGTATTTTGAGTCTGTTTAAAGCATCTCACCTGTGCCCACTCACTGCCATAATCTCCCTCGCTTCGAGTCCCGCATCGGACAGTTTCTGTATACATCTGCAACAGCTGACTTACTCCCAGAGGAACAGTGGTATACCAGTAGCTGTCTCCCAGTGATGTAACCCTCCTCGGCTGCAGATACAGGGCCTTTGCATCAGGTGGAATTTTCTGCAGGTACTTTTCGAGCGACGCAACCGGGCAGAGCACATTTCCTCGCTCCCCATACATAGCGCCCCTCACGTTTTCTGTCCCTCTCCAGTGGGTCTTTATGATTTTTTGTTTCTTTGTTGAACATCGTGGTAAAATATTTAGCACTGTTGTCATCACATTTAAGGATGAATGAGTCCGGTTTGAGATGCCGATTCCCCTCTTTCCCCCTGCGCCCAAAGTGCAACCGAATATCATACCAGACCTTGTTTGGTAAGCCTTTCGGGTTGTCTGGACTCGGAGCTGCAGAATGTTTTAGGATGCGCTGGTCTTCAGGTGAGATCGGGGATGGTGTGTTGTTGTGTCCTTCCCTGCCCTTCTTGTCTTTTTGATGACTCCTTTGAAAACATTGTTAGCTGGTATAAACTCTGGGTCCTGCATTAAATTCCATGAGCAGCTCACCGGCAGCTCATTAACATAACGATTCAATCCCGCCCGAAGTCCGAGGTAGCTGCTGATGCTGAAGAGCTCCCCTTTAGCTGTCCGGATCGATCCAGAAAACTCCCTCAACACTGTGTTCAGCTCGGTCTTCTTAACTTGATGAAAGTTCACCTGGATATTTTTGAGATTGAGCCAAGTCTGAAAGCAGTTCAGAGCCCAGGCTGTCTACCTCACAGTGTTGACTTCATTTTTGCTCTTCTCTAATTCATCGAGGTCCGCTATTGACATGTCAGCACACCTGGTTTGCGCTGATGTATTCAGTCCTCTTTCCTTCCCTTCAGTGTCCTCAGAGTCTGATGAACATTCATACTGTAGATCAAATGTTACCTGAGGAAATATGTCCATCTTTGCTGTGCGAAGTCGGTCAAAATCCAAGAGTTAATGGAAGTAACGTTAATGATTAACAGTTAGAACGCCTGTGCACAGCAGAGTGATACTGCTTGTCAATAGTCCCAGTGCTGTTATAGTCCAATATCAGCACTCATGGAAAGTCTCTTGACCAATCAAATCACTCGGTTGGATTTAACTGTTGCATAAGAGCACATATGGACACCTTTATGTCTGAACATGGTGTTCATTATGGACAATCCATGACAAGCACAGAAGTCCAATAACAAAAGACCACTCGAATTCAGATAAGGGGTCCTTCCTCCCAACCACACCTCTCCAGGTCTCACTGTCGTTGCCCACATGAGCGTTAAAGTCCCCCAGCTGAACAAGGGAGTCACCAGAAGGAGCGCTCTCCAGCACCCCCTCCAAGGACTCCAAAAAGGGTGGGTAGTCTGAATTGTAGTTTGGTGTTTAAGCACAAACAACAGTCAGGATCAGCCCCCCACACGTAAGCAGAGGGAGGCTACCCTCTTCTTCACCGTGGTAAACCCCAGCATACAGGCAGCAAGATGGGGGGTAACTAGTATGCCAACCCCTGCTCAACGCCTGTCAGTTAGGGCAACTTCAGATTGGTTGAATGTCCAGCTCCTCTCGAGGAGGCCTGGCTCCAGAGGGGGATCCCGGTGACCCGCATCCAAGCGAGGAACACCGTTTCCATTTGAGGTAATTATAAGGGGTCTTTGGGATGCACTTTGCCTGATCGCTCACCTAGGTCCTGTTTTCCAGGGGTGACCCTACCAGAGGCGTAAAGCGCCAGACAGCTTGGCTCCTAGAATCATTGGGACACTCAAACTGTTCCATCACGATAAGCTGGCAGCCCAGGGAGGGGTGGGATGTTGATTAGTGGAAAATTAATTTAAATGCTATTGGTTTTTTTAGTGTCATTCTGTTGTGTAAATTCTGTGTAAATATTTCATGAAATCTCAAAGGCTGTTTAAACCTGCTTTTTTAATTGAAGTTATATATTTTCTCACTGCGAAAGGTTTCAGATATGTTTCAAACAGCGCGGTATGAATGGCCTGTATTTGATATAGCGCCTTCTAGAGTCCTGGAACCCCTCAAGGCGCTTTACAACACAATCAGTCATTCACCCATTCACACACACATTCACACACTGGTGGGGATGAGCTACGATGTAGCCACAGCTGCCCTGGGGCGCACTGACAGAGGCGAGGCTGCCGAGCACTGGCGCCACCGGTCCTTCCGACCACCACCAGCAGGCAACGTGGGTTAAGTGTCTTGCCCAAGGACACAACGACAGCGACAGACTGAGCGGGGCTCGAACCTGCAACCTTCCGATTACGGGACGAGCGCTTAACTCCTGTGCCACCGTCGCCCCAACACTTGGCTTAATGAACTGACCTGTATTGGAATGTTTACTGTGTGAAGGTCCTTGAGACGACTCGTTGTGATTCTGCGCTAAATAACTGAATTGAATTGAAGTGAATCTGCGACCTTGTTAACACAAAAGTTCAAAAATTCCTCACAGACTGCTATGATTCCTCTAAACCTGTGGTTTACCAACTTTTCAGCTTCAGACCTACAAAATAGTGTCATATTCATTCATGACACTTTAGTTGTGTTTCTGTTACTATTATGATCGAACTATAGCTTCAGTGATGGTTTTTGTGTTTTATATTGATTTATTTATTTATTTATTTATTTTTACCGTGTCCTGTCTGGCTGTGAAGCAAGCAGAATTGATGTCTGAATGCTGGTAACAAGCCTTACAGATTTATTCTCAGGTGGAGCATTAAAGCATCTGCTTTTAATGTCACGCCTGATACTTAAAACTTTATTGTTATTGTTGTTTAATGCTTGGTAATTCCGACCAGACACGGAGACAGAGGTGAAAGAGAAAGGAAAAGAAAAAGGTGGGGAGAGAGGGGGTTCCACAAAAATAAACAATGAACAAGAGTCTGCTTCTAGACCTGCAGAAAAAGACAAAAAAAAAGCAAAAGGACAAAAAAATGGGACACAACAACAATACAACAAGATCAAGCTATCACTGCTATTCACCTTGATGAAAAAAATATATAATCAACATTGCTTAACTGAAGAATCACGATAATAAATCACAGTGCATTAAGTGCCCACCATAGTCTTAAGACATGTGTTGAACGTGCCCATGTCCATACTGTTGAGAGCACCATGTGAGCACCTGTGTGTGTACACGCGCTTGTTTATGTAAGGTTTCTCTATAGGAGCGTCCAACAGAGAGTGTGAGGGACCACAGATCCGCTCCCCAAAGATGCGCAGGAGACGGGGGGAGCTCCAAGTCCCAGAGATCCAGGCGCTGCCCCAGAACACAGGAACCCCAAGGAGACTGCAACCAGGAAGGCCCCCGCCCCCCCTCGAGAGGCACAGAGGATCGACCCGGGGGGCCACAACCAGCAGCCGGCAGAGTCCCAGGAGATATCAGCGGCAAGCCCACAGGCCCGCCCGCAGCCTCCCACCCCCTAGCCGGCCGAGCCCGGGACCCAGCGACCCGGGGCCCAGGGGCGACCACCCCCGCCGGGGACCCAGCAGAGCCCAGGGACCCAGACCCCACCAGGCAGCCACCGGGATCTAACAGGCAGATGCCAAAATCTTAAACCCCCAGACCCGGTTGCCACGAACACTCAGGCAGACCAAGGCACAAGCCCCCACACCAGGTGTGGCAGGGGGAGGGGAGGTGAAGATCTATATCATCAAGAGAAGTTCCAGGAGAGGGGAGGAGTCAAAGGCCCCACCTGACATATACAGTCATACACAAACACAGTCACACACTCCCTCCCTCATGCTCTCACATGCACATACAACCCAAGACTTACAAAAATGCACGCCGGACACGCACTCATGCTCCCCATACACACCCTATTCACTCTGGTCCCGGTACTGCTGCACATGGGGTACAACCATCACCGGTTACCAGAGTTTGACCCTTTCTGCTGGGGTGCTGATGAGCAGGCTCCCCCGCCCAACGCTGAGCACAGCAACCCACCACCCCAAACCCCGGCCAGATCCCCCTCCTAGCCTCCAGCCCCAGGAAGCCTAGCGACAACAGAGGTGGCTAAGACCCCTAGTCTCCCTCCGCCTGCTCCAATATAGTGTTGTGTGATCATGAGGTGTATTCCATGGCTGTGGTGAGCGGGCAGTGCGGGCATCATCCGGCCATTTTATACTGATTTATGGAAATCATCTCAAGACCCCATATGTGGCCCACAGTGGAGTCCAACAACACCCTCGACAGAAACTACAGCAACGCTTTTTGTCATTGATTCGTTTTGTTGTGCAACCTTTAAGTAACGGTCAATGCGGGCAGCAGAGAAGACTGAGGCAGATCAAAACTAGAGACACATATATGTCAAAGGTATAATTATTGTTTAAGGAAGATGCCTTTTACTGGCACACACAGTGCTAATCTAGGTGCAGTGGTGGAAAACAAGAAACTGTCAAAGAAACAGAGGCAGAAACAGTCCAAAGTTTGGTATCAAAAGTGTAACTACAAGCAGATTAGCTAATGCTAGCGGGTAGCAGGCTCATGATCCAGTGGGTCCAGAAAAAACACGATGGTTGTGAAATTAAGATTATCTCAACTCTACAAGCAGAAGAAAAGTCCCCATCAACATCCTGTTCATAGGGAGCCTTAGTCTCCTCCCTTTCCGGACGGCTTATGGGTCCCTGGAAGAACGAAAAAATGAATGAAAGTCAACGGGGCTAAACCTTACGCCCTGGATCACACATGCTGTACTGCAATTTAAATGAAAAGTAATGATGGGTGCTTCGGCCACGCCAGTCACGTACTTTGAGATTTATCAGCTTGTAAAAGTTCATAATTAGCATGACTACACACCAGAAATCGGCACGTCGCACATGTGACGTCGCCACATAAGCTCCTCCCCCCAGCGTAGCTGCTACTTACCACATGGCCATATTTATGGTGGTTCTTTCCTCCTGTGGGAAGTTCGCTGAACTTAAAGCCCTTTTGCCTCAGTTTCTCCGTGTCTGGTTCGATGACGTCACTTTCGTGAAGCGCATTTGTAGTCCTGGACTTATTTTCTTATTAAAATACCATTTCCCCCCATTAGAAAATAAACTTTTGCTTGGTATCAACATGTGTCTTTAAAATTCAGACATCATATGTGAAATCCATGGCATATAACAAGCGGAATTAGAAAATGACTTGCATTCATTTTTTTCGTTCGTCCGGGGACCCGCGGTCCAGATGTAGATGGGCGTGGCTTAGGCTCCCTATTAGCCGTCTGCAGCGCTACGGAGCAGAACCAGCGCCGCAGCGGTCAGGTTACTGCTGCGAGGCTGCTCTGCCCTACACCGCTGAAGGAAGGGCAAGCCACTGTAGCATCTAATTCACAAACACGTCTATCTGTGAACATAATTTAAACTGGATTATTGTTAACCTGCACATAATAAATGTGTCACCCTTACATGTTAGCAGTAGGCATTAAACGGTATTAGCATTTACGGTAGCTTACTACTGAACATGTCAATGAGATGCATTAAATTTTACTGATCATAGTTTAATTGTGCACATATTTAGGAGACAGCACGTTGTTTCACACACTATTTAACTGTTTTCTAATCATGTTCTGTTGTTAAGGTAGAGGAGGGAGAGAAAAATGTTTCCCTAGCAGTGTTTCAATCTTCCAGTTTCATCCGATTCATCGATGATCCAAATAATCTTGTTGCAGCCCTACAGTGTGGTGAGGACTGTCCAGATGTTTACATCTGGGAAACTAAACAACAATTACACAAGAGCATGGCACGACACAGGAGAGCCACCTCCTCAGGTCAGGACTCTGCAGTCCACCTTCACCTGAAGGACAAGGGACACATGCTGGACAGAGGAGATAGATGGTGTGAGTTAGTAAAGGAAGCTACATATTGATGTTAAATGGGGACAAACCTACATTAAATAGGGAGGGGGGCTTAGGTTTCAAGGTTCCAGCACCAATAATGCAGCTTTGAAGGTATTCCCCAAACAGTCTCATTCTAGGTGACACCCTCCTGCGTCTAATCAACACAACCTCCTAAATGAGTCATTTAGGAGGTTAACCTGGAGTTTTATCACCAATACCTCCCTAAAATCTCTCTGCTTTTGCATGAACACGGTTTCAGACAGGAGCCAGGTGCCGCATCTCCACACACACACACACACACACACACACACACACACACACACACACACACACACACACGGCCCTGAGCAATAACAGCGTAGCTGCTGTGCTGTGGATGCATATCAGATTAACCAATGATGAAAGTGTCGTACACAGAAGCAAACCCATTTTTCCTGTAGCCTCAGCCACAAACCTTCTGTCCGAAGACAGGGCTGCATAAGACATGACGACTGACCAACAGGGCAAGGCGGCTTCATCTACATAGCACGTTTCATTCACAGCAGCAACTCAGTGTGCCATTACTAGGTCCCAATGACAGATCAGGACACGCGTCTCAAGTCACAACTGACTAATTGTGATTTAAAGTTGCTGTGAAAAACAAGTCAGCCTTAATGTTCTCCACTGGTGCTAAATTTAGGTAGTGTGTTTTTGTCTGTGTGTGTGTGCGTGTGTGTGTGTGTGTTTTGTACCTGAGAATATGTAGTTGTAGCCCGTGCGGCCGTACAGCTCCCCCCAACCTGCCAGAGTGGACGAGCGGCAAATGTGCTGGAACGAGGTGAAAGCATACAGGATTGGACAGACAGCAGGACACAGTACAGACACCTGCAGACACCAGACACCCTCGTAGTCTAACAGAGGTGGGACCTGACCTCTGCAGAAGATGAAAGAGCGTCAGCACTCGGACAAACCAAACAGCTTTACACATTTAGTGTGGAAACAAGTACTCGAACCATTCACTTTAATAAATTCTTTAGTCATTTTTACTTATTTCAGGCTTGTTGAATGTGTGCACTCAGGTTTAAACACATTCAATGACACACAGCATGGAAATCTAGAGGAAAACAGAGAAGCCAGCGAAGACACGCGCTATAAAGAGCACCGTCTCCCTTCCCACCAGGAGCGTCACAGATGCAGCAAACTGCCTGAATCTTGACCTTTAAACACCAAAGGTCAAGATTCAGGCAGTTTGTTTGCGTTCTCAGCTAACTCAAACCAAAGCACAACTGGAGCAGCTCGCTGCAACTCTAATGGACGCCCACACCGTCTTCTCTGTTGTCGGGAAAAAAACACGGGGAAGATGTGCGTGCAAGGCTGTCTTTGTGCGTTATTGGCCATTCCCATCTGAACCGGGTCGGCCCGGGCCGGGTAGCATAGGTTGTTTACATATCTGGGTGGCCTGGAATTTTTCCGGGCCAACCAAGGCTCATTCTCAGCCCTCTTCTGGAGGGGGTCTGCTTCAGGCCGACCAGGGCCAATACGCCCACTGCTGACAGCAAATTCACACCTTCCATTAGAGCAAGCCTCTGATTGGTGGGTAGAGCCAGCCCACATGGGCTTAAGACAAGGATGTGTGGAATCAACCGGGCCAGGCTGGGGCTACCCGGCCCGGGCCGACCCGGTACAGATGGGAATGGCCCATTATTGGCCTCTCTGAACACCACCAACACGGACGAAGCAGAATTCCCTGGAAGGTGCTGGGATCGATCTGGCAACCTTCCAGGGAATTCTGCTTTGTCCGTGTTGGTGGTGTTCAGAGAGGCCAATAACCAGGGGTGGACTGGACCACCTGGCATTGTGCCATCGTCCCGGCGGGCGGGTCAGGGCCGAGTTGTCGTTCCGGTCTATCCCTGACATTATGGCACAGTGCAGGCCAGTCGTGGCTGAGCCATGTTCATCTGTCTGCTAGCTCACGCTGGACGGTCCTGGTGGCAAACATCCTGAAGTTGTCAATAACAGAATATGGACTGGAACGGAGTTTTGCAGCTTAGCTGCAGAAGCATCTCCTTCAGGAATCCCATCAGATTTATTTCTACGCACAAGTACAAACACCGCACGATGTGCAGACATGTTCCTGCACACCACATATGCACACATCTTCTCTTTCCTAAACCTTTAAGGAG